ATACTCTTTAATTTCATCTGTAATCTTTTCTCCTGCCTCATTATATTTATCTATCCTAGGATAATTTCTATCCACCAATTTCTTCAAAGCGATAGGAAACCAAATTGTAAACACACCTAAAGTTATTATAGCAACCACTATAATTGCCGGTGAAAAGTTCAAACTGCCTCGTCCACCGGTCATATAACAACTCTCGGGCGAAAATTCTTTGGTTGGCCAGAATGTATCAGCCCATACTAAAGCATCAATTGAAAGTTTTGATAAAGGAAGATAGAGTGTTGTTAAGATAAATACTACGATCATATTGTTGCGACGTTTTGTTTGAGGACGTAAATTCCATGGTGATGATTCAAGTCCCTATAATTTGAATTAAAAGAATATATATATATTCATATTAAGAATTGTAATCATATAATAAAATTAAAAATAATGAATTAATTGTATTTTAAATAACATACCTCAGCGTCAGCGTTGGGATCCCACTTAGTCATAGTTCTAAACCAATACAAAGCTCCAAATACAATGACAAAAAACACAAATAAAAATGCCGATCCATATCCCCAAACATTAGCCAAATTCAAACTTAAAACATTTGGTATAGAATGTAATAAAGTTTTCAACCAATCCCAGCCTTCGACATTTATGTTTCCAAAAGTCAATGCAAGTGCCAAAAATTGTATAAAATCTCGTAATATTTCTAATTTTATCAAAGTATTTCCAAATACTATAGATTCTGCAGTAAGAATTCCATCAATAGCTGTAGACATTAAATCATTATTTGGTGATTTTTCTTTACTAGTCATATTAGATTTAAGATCATCTAAAGAAACATCATCTGGAATTTGATGCATCGGTGGGAACATAGAATCTGCGTACTTTCCAAATTTACCTGTCGCCATAAACTTTTCATATTCTTCTTGTGTCATTATATCTTTTGGGTTTGAAAATTCTGTTTGTGGTAAACTTTTTATAAATTCATCCAAATGTGGTAAATGTATCCATGGTGATCCAGATTTAAATAATTCATTGGATTCAGATTCATCAAATGGTTTAATACTAAATTTGGTTATTTTTGAAGGATCTAAATCTACTTCTTGCATTATAGCTATATGAACATCGGTTTTCTTTTTTTCTTCTATATCTTTCATTGCCACATCAAATCGTGTAAAATCTGGTACTGTCATATTATTTTTTAGAAATACTTCATTAAATTTTTGATGTCTTACACGTACTGTAAGATCTGGTACTGAATGATTAAGTTTTCCAAATTCTACAGCCGCCAAGTTATGTGGTACCATTAAAGACATTTTACTTTTAGTTAATGTGTACTCTGGTAAATTACGATCACCAAAATTCCTTTTAATGGATTTAAGAAATGGATTTTTTTTAAGTGTACTAGCTGATGACAAAGTATTTCGTTGTGGTCTAATGGTACTATAAGGAAATTTTAAAATTTGTATAGGTTTACATTTTTGTCGCTTAGTACCAATTCTTGAACCATCTGATAATGGATATGTTTGAAAATTTCCAGATTTTCGAAGTTTTATGGTCATTGCATGTGGTTGTTCATCTGTTAATTTGGATTTTTTTGATTTTGAAGGATAAAAATTTGGCATCGGTTTTCTAGATGAACGTGTTTGTTTTCTTTGAAATACTGGTGGATTACTATCTTCAGAATTTATATAATCATCACTTTGATCCATCTTATCACTTTCCATACGAGTTTCATGTTCTTCATTCTTATAAATGGAATCATCTTGTGTTAATGGTAAAGATTTATGTTTATCAACTTTTGTTCCAATTTTAACTTTATGTATATCTAATTGATCAAGGTTTGTCTTATCCAAGAATGTACTATACTTTCTTCCTTTTCCTTTTTTCATTCCTGTAGCACCATGGTCACCATCAGGGTCTTTTTTACTTAAATATGAATTAAATCGATCCAAATCTAACTTAAATTTATCAGGTGACTCTGGAGGTGAATCGCTCCAAAAACCCCAACTGTTTTTATCACCTCCTGACGAAGAAATGTTTGTGGTTAAATTTGCTGAGGTATACGTATTTGACATTGGATTGGGTAATTCACGTTTCAATGGTGCTGTTGATGTAAATTCTTTATGCGTCGATGATTGGTGAACTTTTGGTAATGGTTCTAATAATCCAAGTTCTGGTAAATCAAATGTTATAGGTGATATGGGTGCAGCTTTTGGTAACAAGTCATCATCTTTACCCGTAGAAGACAAATATCCAAAAACTTTTGATGTTACCGGAGGATTTTTTTGAGTCGGTGTGGTTTGTTCATCTTCATATTCAGTTGTTTTTACCATAGTTTGCCAAATTTCCACGTTGAGTTGTTCAGGAGGAGATGAAGTGTAGCTATTAAATGAGTAAGAGGAATCGTGGTTTGAGCGCCATGTTGGGGATGTTGGTTTGACTTCTGATATTACTTCAGGTAATGTGCTTCTGGTCGAATATGCCGAAGTTATCGATCGAGTTTCCGTAATCGATGATTTTGGGACCGAATACAATGAGTCACTAATGGTGATAGAGTGAATCGGTGATGGTGGAGAAGCATTATCAGGTAAAGGACCCCACATTGGTGAAGTTTTCTTGATTTCTGGTAAATAGCTTTGTCCCTTGGTTGTGACCGTTTCAGAACTTTTAATCGAAAGAGTTTCAGGGCTTTTAGGTCGGGTTTGTGGTATTGGTGTTAAAACCCTTTGAACAGAATCGCGACGTTGGGTACTGTTTGACTTTAATGATTGATAAATCGTTGATTCAAATGTAAATGACAAGTCAGAAACATCCGTTAATGTTGGTTGTGATTGATAGATATGAGCAAGTGAACTGGAGGATTGCGATGAAGTCTCAGGATATCGGGTAAATTCTTGCTGATTCGTTTTTTTAAAAGTTGTTGATTCTCTTCCAGATGATATTATAGATTCTCGTTTCGATTGAGTTGAAGTGGAATATGTGGTTTGCGAGATCGTAGAGGACGAGTAATTGTCATGCTTTGTAAACAATGGTTCAGGCATTGTTATGTGTAAGGGTGAAGTTGGTTGTATTTGTGGCAAACCATCAACAAAAAGTAATGACATTGGTGAAACGGCTTCTTTGCTTGATGCTGATTCACGAACGGACAACTTGAACGATGATGCGGAAGATGAAATTTTTGATTCGTCATTATTGGTTGTTATTTTAGTAGATCGGACAGGTGAAGTCGGAAATGTAAACTTAGTATCAGTTAATATCACTGGCATTGTTTCGGGAATGGTTTGAGGAACTGACATTGGAGATACTGATCTAGGAGATACCGGGGTTGTGATCGATAACGGTCTTGGAATAGGTTTACTTCTCCGCTTAGCCAATTTTGTTGGTGATGTTGCCACTGGTGTAGATGCTGTTGGTGTTGACGCTCCAGATGATACAGACTTCATGTCAGTAGCCATATTCGAGGTTGATATTTTTAACGATTCTTGCTCATTTTGAGTTAAAGAACCTCGAGTTAACGATGTATCATTCACGTTAGCATTAAGTCCTCTATTAGCATTAAGTCCAGTATTAACACCAAATGTGCTTTTATTACCATATCCTCTATTAGTACTAGATTCGCTATTAGTGCTAGATACGTCATTAGCGCTAGATCCATTATTAACATTAGAACTATTACTGACATTGGATCCATTACTGACATTGGATCCATTACTGACATTGGATCCGCTATTGGCGCTGTTAACACTAGAACCATTATTAATACTAGAACCATTACTAATACTAGAAATATTGTTAACACTAGAACTATTATTAACACTAGAACTATTATTAACGCTAGAACTATTATTAACACTAGAACCATTATTAACACTACTATTAACACTAGAACCGTTATTAGCATTAA